TTGGGCAGACCCGGTTTTTAGTCGTGAGCTGAATTGCATTCCTAAATCTTGTTTGGAAAAACTTGAGTATCGAAATACATTTATTTTTTTGAACTTTTGCACTGTCGTCAAAAACTTTTTTTGCTTCACTCATCTTAGGACATTGAACCCAAGAAATTATCAAGGGAAAAATCTAAGATACCTAGGATTAGCACGGGTAGTACGTGAAATTTAAGTCGAGAAGTAGCCAGTCGTCTGTGATCAGCATCTCTGGAGTTTTTCTTAATGACGCAACTAAGATCAACAATTTGCGAATTTTGTTGAAAAGAATTGCACGACAAAAAACTTAGGGAGCTTGAAAAAATCTGCAATGTCATTGACCAAAGAGGCGCCCATTACGGTTTTTACCTCCTGAAAAAATGCTTTAGCATGCCAAACTCCAATAAATTTTGCTTGCAAGCCCTAGTTTTTTGCAAACAGGTTTTTTGGAACACTACGAAAAAATACTACGAAACTTGTTATGCATGGTCATTGTTGGATGATAACCAAGGAAATGGATAATAAAGCAGTTTTTCTGGCAGCATGAGCTGGCTTGGTTGTTTCTTCCGCTCTTCTACTAGCTTTACCCACTTTCTTAGCCTCAGCAGTAGAAGCGAAGATTGCCTTCAGCGAAAATATTCATTTGGAGTATGTGTATGGAACCTAAAATGATGCGCTTAAAAGGTGAAAAAATGGAATGACTCCAGAAAAGGAAACCAAAAAGGAGTGAACTGAGCTAATTTTTGACAGCGAATTTGCAGGCTTGGTTTTAAAACTCCAACCAATAACTGAACGTCATCCCGTGAAAATTCTAACTTTAAAACTATCGAAACAACAACTCAGAATCCGAACAGGTTTTCAATTAGGCTCTAAAATTTGCGAAATGCATAAATGCGTATGCGGAAAAAATGTTACCGAAGATGGTTGGCATGGCCTTTCATGCCTCAAAAGTGCAGATATTCTGTTGGCACTCAAACATGAATGCCCTTATAAAGCAGAGCTCACCTTCTACTCTTTTTTCTTCTGTTTTACAGTCACGACACCTATGCAAGACCAATCAGAAGCTACCAGACGGAAAAGGTTTCGAACAAATTTTGTAATAAACTAATCATAAGTACTGAGGAATCCGAGGTAAGGCAGTTTTTTGTAATGAGAATCTGATCGGCAAGACTGAATGCAAAGGCCGCTTGTTTACTCTTCACAACATATGACAATGAAATACATGTATTACAATGAATTTTTATTTGTTCTCATGTTGATCTGCGTGTTCTTAGTGAAGAAAAGTAACCCCAATCGCGCAAAATTTTAAACACATCAACAGTTTCCACGTCGTTTTTATCTTTTAAGTATCCGAATGAAAAGTCCAGGGATTTTGACTGGAATATGGGATGCAGGGACTCCTGACTGTAACCTCGATTACAATGATACTCTGACCTTCTGATTACCTTCAATTCTGATTCAAACGACATTGGCTAAGTTATGAAAAAATCATTTGAAAGTCGTCAAATCCGATTGGTAATCTTTGAGTTTTATAAGTGTTACCAGCGATTAAAGCCCAGCAAGCGAGCTTAATTTAGAAGGATACGCCATGGAAATTAAGTATAATTCTTTCTTGAAGTTTTCTTAGCGCGATTTTTGGAAATAAAAAAAGCAATTATATTGTTCTTTAAAATTGGAGTAAAAATTTCAAATGTTTGTTCCAATTTTCAAAGAAAACAAAAAATTTTTGTGTGGGGTGGTCTTTTTTTTATCTAGTCAGCTTTCGGCTATCAAAGAAATAGGTCTTAACAACAAGTTTTTATATCGCATTGAATTTATTGACTCCCTGAATCAAAATTTTATCTCCGATCGGAGAAGGATATTACCTCACTTCAACCAGGCATTCATTCAGCTTTGCAAAACAATTGCAAAGCTATCTTTACAATAGCAAGTAAAATTCTCGCCCATGAAAACTTAACGTCGTAAACTCGTGTCGTCTGATACCTTTGGACAAAAACCCATGGTTAAGGTCTTTTGGTATCGGCGAGATTCTGAGACAAGTAATTGGCAAATCCATGACTCAAGGTATAAAATCAGCTTTACAAACCTCGGAAAAAATCCAAAATTGCCTAGGCCTGAAATATGGGATCGAATTTTCTATCCACAGCTTGAGGAACTAGTTTGAGAAACCGGAAACGGACGTCATGCTAGTTATTGATGCAGTAAATGTCTTCAACATCCTCAAAAAATAACTTGCTCTAAAAAGTGTAGAAGTCCATTGTCCGCACTACAAAGACCTGCAAAAACCAAATTTCAACCAAAATTGGTACGCGGATGACGGAAGCGCTGCAGGTCATCTTAAGAGTCTCCATGCCATACTGGACAAGCTGGATGTACAAGGAAAGGCTTTCAATGATCAACTCATAATAAAAGAAAACTGTCAAGATAGCGCCATAAATGTTTTTGAAGGAACAAATATTACAAAGGTAGATCATTTTAGAGTCTTTGGATCGTTCAATGGAAAACAATCAGCATGCGATAATTATATGTAAAGCGAAATTGAAAAGACAACAACCCTAACAAAAAACCAATCCAAAGTAGATAAAGCACCACCACAAATTATTCACTCCTGCTACACAAAGAGAGTTCAAAATAAATTCTAACCAAAACATCTCTGGAAGCATTAAAAAAAATCAATGTAATTGAGAAGAACGTAAGACAGCAACTACTTCCTAGTATTAATGGTAAAAAACATATAACTGACGAAGATCGCAGCCGTTTTGCACTACCACTGAGAAAGAAAGGATTAGACTTCCTCGGTAACACTCTGACTTTGCCAGCAACTTTGAGAGTTCACGAGCCATTTGTGATCAGTTAGAATACAGTGATCCAGAAAAAGCTGAAATGGAACAGAATCTGATAGATGGAAACGTCAAGACTGAGATTTAGACCATCACAAGGCTAAAATTATGAACAACTGCTCATCAGAAAAAAACTAATAATAAATCTAGCCACACAGAAAGGAGCATCGAAATGGGTAAGCGTGATACCCCTATAAAGTAAAAATTTTTTCTCAACAAATCAGAGTTTAAAGCTGGTTTTACATTTTAGATATGGATAGAAACCACCAAACACTCCACACACATGCCCATGTGGACAACTGTTCACACTGACTCACTCTCTTCAAAACCCTAAAAAGGGAAACACTCACCTAAGACTTTGAATGTTGTGAAACCTTTGCGACACTCCTGGACGAAGTATGCATTGATCTTGAAAAAGAGCTGAAACTTTAATCGTTGGAAGGCAGAACCTTTCTCGACAAAACAACCACAAATGGAGATGACGCTCGACTTGACATCAAGGCAAATGGACTTTAGGGAGGCCGATTCAGCCGAACCTTTTTCGCTGTAGGAATTTTCAACTCCAGTTCTAAATCCTGCCCTAAAACTATATCTGACGCCTACAAATATCTTTTTGCCAATGTATTTATTTAGCGTTGGTATGGCCCTATCGTTGGCCAGTCAATAAGCAGAATGGTCTCAGAGCAGAATGGGTCCAAGAGCAGAATAACAGAAAACTATCGACTTCTATAAGCTAATTGGTAATATATTATAAATAACAGCCAAGCAACGAACATTTCATGCATATTTTGAGCAATTTAATCAAAAAAATTTCAAAAAATATATTAAAAAAACTTAAAGAAATTAGTCAGTTTATGCATGGTTCACTCGTTTTCTCAGTATTTTTTGTTGATTCTTATAATCGTTTTATCAATTAGCCCGTATAAAATAAAATAAGTCAATATTTTTTTGTTTTTCTGCTCATGGGTCCTGCAACATTCGCCCAGACATTACACAGTGACGGAGCGTAGAAAAAGTACCTATTGACGACTGACGGGCGTCAGTTACCCTAATTCTACTCGTTTTTAACCATCTAGACCTAGCCAGACAGTTTTCTGTCCTATTTAGGGCTAAGAAAAAAGATACCAATTTTAGGCCATCAGTCAAACGACTTTTGATAACAACACAGCGAAGATAACAACACAGCTGAGTCTCGGATCCCCAGACTATGTGATTATCATTGCAAAAAAGGCTGGAAAACCATAATTTACTATGTTTTTAGAGACACTTGTATACTAAATTCATTGGAGATGGATTGACTCATTCCTTTTCTAACTACTCATGCTTTGAAATAATATATAAAATCGGAGTTATGTAAATTATTCAGGGCATCACAGTAGTTAAAAATGTACGTTTAATAGTCTCACAGTTGAACTACAGTTCCAATTCCGTGTTCCTCCGAGGATAACGTCGTTATCTTACCGATTTCGTGGCACGGGAGGGTACGGATCCGCTCCGGATGTCCCACTGAACGTTCCTTTCTTCTGATCCGCTTCAGCTACGATAAGAGGCTTCGTTCTTTTTCTTTTTTCTTACGACTTTTCTCGTCACTTTATTTCGGCGTGTGTCTTTTTCTTTTTGGGCAAATTGGCCGTTCTTACATTTCTGAGAAATATAATAGTTGCAATCGAAAATTTGAAAATTCAAAATTATAGAATTTTCTTTAAGATTTCACTGTTAACGTCTTTGACGTCTCTTTTTGTTCTCGGAGGGTTCGACTGTGCCAACCCGGCGGAATGGCCCACCCATTCTGCACTTGGATCATTCTGCTTACTGCTCCGCCTCCGGCCCTATCCAACCTGTGCACGGACCGTCGCATGATCGAACGGCCTATTTTAATTGAACATTTTTGTAAAATTTCACACTTGATCTTCGATGTTGTCCTCAAATTTATAGATCAAAATTTATTCGAGACCAATTAAAGGGCAGTCGGAGCATTCAGGGTATTGCACACTCAGTCTTTTTTTGAGTTCAGTGGTTTTTTGTTCTAATGATTAACATGTACCTAATTGGCTCCGTCCCACAAGAGCTCCGTCCCATTGGCTCCGTCCCATTGGCTCCGTACCTAATTGGCTCCGTCCCATTGGCTCCGTCCGCCTAATTGTTGTGATAAACTTATTAAATAGATTTGTTATGTTTGATGTTTGTGCCTGTTTGTGGAGCGCCCTCTGAAGGATTTTAGAGACAGGTCTGTCAAGTGGCTTTCTGTGGGGAGGTGAAAAACTGGAACTGGCTTCAAGAGTCTGGTGGTGCACCGCTGGACCTACTGAGCTCGGGTGAGATTGTTCCTTGTTTTTGATTTTTATAATTCGATTTTAAAATTTAAATTATTTTAATTGTCTTTTATTTTTTTTATTTGCTGATTTTTAAAATTCCCACTAACCGCTTATCATGGGTTAGTTCAGTCCCCTAAAGTCCAGTCAAAATCGTTTTTTTTTACCTTTATGCTGCGTCAAGATGAGGAAAAACAACAAAGAGTGTACAAGCAAAGAAGGACTGATAAATTGGATTAGATGTGATTGTTGTTCTAGTTGGTATCATATCAGTTGTGTGAATATTTCTCTTAGCGACTCTAAGAAAACCCAATGGTTTCGGTGTCCTTTATGCGTTGATGTAAAATCTGTTAATAAAGCAACAATAGGTAATGATTTAGTGCTAGACAATTATGTTAATACAGCCATCTCAAATGTCCGAGTAATCAAGAGAGTACCAAAAGACTCGCGTGTTCCCTTGGCGGAAAGTCTGTCGGACAAAATAAATGACATCGTCTACAATGTAGAAGATGTTACAAAATGGCTAATTTTTTTGACGTCGTTCTTGTTTTTTTTTGGAGCAACCGAAAAGAAGTGGACGCAAACTGACCACAAGCATGAGCTCTTTGATTAATAAAAAAAATCGAGCAAATGACGTGTCACTTCCAAAACCCCATCCCCAAGTTTCAAGCCTGCCTCTGAGTGACCTCGAGCAGAGAATAAAGCTAATAAGTAGTAAGCTCGATGAAGGAAACGTAAAGGGAGGAATAGGGCTTGCTGCTTCGGATGACAAAATTGCTCCTTTTTCCACTGATAACTATCAAAAATTGTTGTCTAAGCACCCTCAGCGAGCCAAATTTGCAGCTCCAAATCTAGAAAAGTTGGATAGTTTTTTCGTAACCGATTTTGACCTATACAAAGTGATAATGTCCTTTCCGAACGGATCAGCAGCACGTCCTGATAAAAAAGTTCCTCAAATTTTTAAAGATCTTGTTAGTAAGTCGAACGGCAGTGCAGGACTTATTTTTCTGAAATCGCTTACTAAGCTGATAAACCTCATTGGAGATGGAAAAATACCCAAACCCCTAAAACCTTTCTTTTTTGGCGCAAAGCTTATCGCCCTCATAAAGATAGACAGAGGGTTGAGACCGATTGCCATAGGCAACACGCTGAGACGTATCGCGTCTAAATGCGCTGGAAGCAAGGCCCTCTCCGAGCGACAAATATTTTTTAGAAACGTACAGGTAGCATGCAGTACCAAACGAGGATCAGAAATAGCTGCGCACTCGTTTCGAAACCTAATTGAACGCGACGACAACCCAAAATGTACTGTTCTTTTGAAACTAGATTTTAAGAATGCCTTTAACTCTCTAAATAGATAAACAATGCTGAATCATGTTTATTCATATCGCCCCGAATTGTATAATTACACCCAATGCGCGTATGGTAAACCTAGTTACCTTTTTTACGGAAGCTCTGTCATAATGTCAGAAGACGGAACTCAGCAAGGTGATCATGAAGCCCCATCCTTTTTGCGGAAACAATTCATACACTAGTCAAACAGTTGGAGTCGAAAATTAACATCTGGTATTTAGATGATGGGAATTTAGCCGACGACTATAAGAAAGTACTCCGGGACCTTAAAAACATTCTGAAATCGGAACAAATTTATGACCTGAGCTTGGAAACTGAGAAGTGCGAACTTTGTTTTTTGGGACCGACTACTAGTACACAGTATAATTCAATTTTAACACAATTTCGAAAAATATGCCCCAAATTAAAAATAATAACAAAAGAAGAACTCCTCAATTTAGTATCTCCAATCGGCGAACTTTGCCGAAAAGAATTGCTCGACGAAAAAATTAAGGAGCTTGAAAAAATCTCGGATGTAATTGACAAACTAGACACAGCATGCCAAAACTCCTATATATTTTTTGCGTACGAGCCCTTGTTTTTTGCTTAATAATTTTTTGGAACGCTACGACAAATTACGAATAAATTCGTTATGCAAGGACACTAACGTGAAAATGGATGATAACCAGTTTTTACAAGCAGTTCTCCCGGCAGCCAAAGGTGGCTTGGGCGTTTCTTCCGCTCGTCTACTCGCTTTACCCGCTTTCTTAGCCTCAGGAGTAGGAGCGAAAGATGCCTTGAGCGAAATCGTTGGTTTGGAGCATGTGGATGGAACCTAAGATGATGCACTTAAACGGTGGTTTGGATTTGGAAAAATTGAAATGGCTCCGGAAAATGAAAACCAAAAAAATTGGACGGAGCCAATTTTTGACAGCGAAATTGCAGACTTGGTTTTACGACTCGAACCAACGGACGTAAAAAATTTCAACGCGTTCCAAGATAGATTTGGCTCCCAATGGTTGAACGCCATCCCGTGCAAAAATTTAAGGTTAAAACTGTCAAACCAACAACTCAGAATTGCGATAGGGATTCGATTAGGCTCAAAAATATGCGAACGGCATAAATTCGTGTGCGGAAAATACGTTACCGAGGATGGTTGGCAAGGTTTGTCTTGCCTCAAAAGTGCAGAGAGTTTCTCTAGGCATTCAAACATGAATGCCCTTATAAAGCATAGTTTATCTTCTACACACATTCCGTCTGTTTTAGAACCACGACACCTCTACAGGACCGATCAGAAGCGACCAGACGGTTTGACGCTCGTTCCATGGGCTGTTGGTAAGCAGCTATTGTGGGATGTAACGGTGGTAGACTCCTTAGCTCCTTGTAGGATTAATGCCGGGTCTGTTTGTAACCCTGGTACGGCTGCCGCTGAAGCGGAAGAGCGAAAAATTGACAAGTATAAAGATCTTGTAAATGAAGGATATCTTTTTCAAACGCTAGCTTTTGAATTTCAGGGCGCGGCCGGTACCAGCACTGAAATTTTATTGAGCAAGCTTTGTAAGAACCTAAGCATATGCACTGAGGAACCCAGAGCAGGCCGCTTTTCAAAACAGAGAACCTCCCTGGCAATACAGATTGCGAACGCTGCTTGCGTACTCGGAACAATAAATGACAAAATAACTTTCGACGAAATTTTTATTTGTAACATTTGTATATTATATTTTCTCGTGTCGAGTTGCGTGTTCTTATTGAAGAAACGTAACCCGCATCGATTTTAATTGAAGAGGACTTAAACACTTGTCATCTTCTTTTATCATTATCACTTCCATATCTAGAAAATTCCAAGGATTTTGACTGGAATACGTGATGAAGGGACTCCTGACTGTAACCTCGGTTTCTATGATACTTTTGACCTTCTGATTACCCTTAACACAAAAAACGCTGGCACTAATAAAAAAAACATGAAAACAAACTTTTCTAAGAATATAGTTGGTACTTAGTGCTTACTCGTGCAGCAACCGGGCATTCTTGTAAAAATTGGTTATGAATCAACTTTTAAACAGTTGAAGCCTGATGTATCACCAATCCTCGTCTGATGTTTTTCTGCTGTTTCTATTGGTCATATTACCTGAACAACAAACTGAATTACTTCACAATACGAAGTTCCTACCTGCTTCGTGTGTAAAGGAAGACTCTGTTAAGAATTATCGAATTCCTGAAATTCTTGTAATTGCCATAATTTGTAACAGTCGCCTACTTCGGTCACATATGAGGCTTAAGAAAAATAGGCCCTATAACCACTGGCTCAAGAGTCAGGGACACTATCTCTTGTGTTTTTCTACCTCAAAAACGGTCGGAGCCAATTCGGTTCACTTGCGACATGAGACTAGAACCCGTTACAGCTTAAAGGCCACTACCAAAATACCCCCTACTCTAGAAAATAAGAACGTCCCCATACTTAGGTCTCAAAATACCCAAAATACACGAACGCCGTTAAAAAGAGGGTCGGAACAATCCGTTAAGTTACTTTTTATTGGACAGTGGAACTTTGATCCATTTCAAATGGATCAACCTAAAACTCGCCTTATCTCAACATACTTATCACAAAATACACTCGGGAAAATTAAATTAGGTACTTATATAGCAACACACTTGAGAATCAGAGTAATTAAGCTAATTAGTAACTCTAGCATAAATATAATTGAATGTAACTCAAGAAGTTTGCTATCAGTAAATTCCAATCAAAGGAAATGAGTTTTAACTTGAGAATGTAGTTTTGGATCTGAACCATTGGGAGACTTCAGTTGTCTGCCTTTCCATTGAAGGTTCACTCTGGTTCAGTTGGGTTTCGATTTGCTCTTGTGATTGTTCTGTCTCCTATATCAGATAGGACAGCTCTACTCTCGTTTTCTACGACGGAAATTGAGAATAGCACTTTCCCACTGTCTTTATTTGACAACTTTCCTGCAATTGTAATTCGGTTGTTCTGATTTTATTTTTGATGTTTTCAGTTGTCGCGATAAAACTGAGCATGACAAGCTCCATTCGAAATTTTGAAAAATTAAACTTCATTCCAAAACCACGTGTTTCGTGTTCCTCAAGGTCAAACTTCCAGATATGACCGACTGGCACATACTCCCCGGACTCAAGATCGATGTCCTCATCGCGTGCTGCTGTTTGTCAGTGAAACCCCAGAAACCCGAGTGTTGCTCAAGATACAGTGCCAGTGGTCATTTACAGAAGTTTGCAGCAGACTTAAGTTTATCTACACCCCAAAATTCACAACCATGTTAATTTTCACACTATCGCTAAACAGCAATCAAAATCTGCACACACAGGAACCTTTGAATTTTCGCTTTCTAAGCTAGTAATTTAAAAAAAAAATTTGTCCTATTCAATCAGGAAATTTTCATGCAGCATTTTGATTTATAAAATGGATATAACATATTAATAACAATATCTCATTTGTTAAAGTTTCTTTTTCGTGAACCTAGATTTCATCCAAGTTCATCCTCAAGC